AGCATCCTTTTATACATAAGGATGTCTAACTTAAGGCTTACAAGTGGGCTAATGGGCTAAAATACATTTGTGGCACATACTACACATTGAGCTAATAACTACACAAATACAAAGATATTTAATTGGATTGGACACCATAAAATATTCTCAACAATCTCCCCCTTGGTGTTCAATCGTGTTCAATTAGCATTGCAGCGCAGATATCTTTGTCTTTGTGTTTATTCAGCAATGTAGAGGAGAGCATAGATAAAATCTGTTGAGTTGCTCCTCTTTTGTCTTGATCTTCAGTGGAACTCAACTTCCTTTGTCTTCGTGTTGAACTCGACTTCTTTAGAGGGCTTTCTGAAGAAATCCTATCAATCTTTCCTTTGATGTCTTCTTGGCAATTTGATCTTTGATGCCAGAGTTGAGGAATCTTCAGTGTCTTGCATGTAGTCCTTGCCTTCCAAAGGTTGGTCTTGATCAACTTGGATTAAATCCGGTGGCGCGCCTCTAGAATGAATGTTCTTGAAAAATTGCAGACGCACATGAGATTCTGATTACCTGACCTCTGTCTCCTCCACAATGTAGTCTTTTTGACTATTTGAGGTGAATGCTTTTGAGGAGAACCAGTCGGTTGCACAGCGGAAAATGATGATTGACTTGTGAGCGTAGCTGACCATTTGATGTGAAGCTGACTTGTCGTCGTTTTTGTGTTGGAGGAGAAGTGTCCAAGAATGATTTTTTAGAGTAAACAACATGCGGACCACTCTCCCCCTCATGACGATCCGATGAATCGGGGCGTCATGTCTTTATTCTTTTATTCTGTGAAACAAAATAGAAAAAACAAAAAAGGTAAACACCGGAGACACCATGGTGTTCCGTTATCACAACATCAATGTAAACATTGATGTGTGGCCTGTATAAAAATGATAGAAGCATTAAAGCTCTAACAGGACTTCCAATCAGTCATTGTGAGGCATCTAAAGTAGATGTCACTCTGGTTGTTATGGCATGATCATAATGATCAGCAAGGATAACGTAGCCCCCCGGGGACGTGATGACGCCCGTTATCATCACTATAGAGATAAACTCTTAAGCGATGGCCTGAACATGTTGGTGAATTCTGTATTGCAACAACAGGACTTCCTTCCAATTATTGATCTTCATCTATAGTAGATGATCCCTATGGAAATTCTCGCGGGTCATGAAGACCTGCAACTGACTCTAAATAGTGTATGTGTCCTAGAAAATTCAAAACATTTGGGTGTGAGATTACTAGACACGACGTGATCAATGAATGTTCAGTGGCGTGGGGCTGTGGGCCACCGTAGTCAGTATCAGTCGCCTCAGAAGGAGACGGTGATTAGAGACGAGTTTCCCCGTGAAATATGATTAAACCCATGTCTGTTGGGAGACAGGTGAGTGGTCTTAGGTAGGGTTGTGCATGCGCCATTTGGACAAAATGCAGCGACTTCTACCCGGGATCTGAATAAATTCATTCCTGAACCTATGAGGATTGTCCAGAGTATTTGAGTGACTGGGAGTAATTCTCTCGATTGATAGCACAATAGAGGTAGCAGATTTGACAGTGATTATTGTTCTCTTGCTCACTTGAGCTTTCTGTTTCCTCACTCTCATAGTGTTCACTCAGTTACTCACTGTCGGCTTTGTCCCTTGGGTAGGCTTAGTTGGGTTTACTAAGCCATTGGGACTTATCTCTCATTTCTCTTTGCCCTTTTCTCTCCGTGCTCCCCCTCAACTGGAGCATTCAGTAGGATGCCTTTCACGATGATTGGCACTTGGGAGGAGGACTTTGAAAACTGCCCCTTAAAATCCGCATCCTTGAGAGAATCCTTGCATTTTACATTGTCTAGCACCAGGAGAACAAAAATGAAACTCCCCCTCAAAAGTTGCAAGTTGTGTTGTTTCTACCCGGGGAGTAAAGTAGAAACTCCCCCTTGGAATGTGCTTTCTTCGTTTTTTGGCTCCAAGAGGAGTGAAAAAGAAACACCCCTCCTCAGAATAAGCACATGGCGTTTGTTGGTGTTGAGGTGTGCATTTGTTGATTTTTAGCTTAGTATAGAGTATTCACGCCAGTACTCTCCTTGATAATGTGCACCATGTGTGCGGAGCAATCGGATCAGTTACCACACATGACGGACCTTCAACACATATTAAGTATGTTTCGGTATCCATTTCCAGATGGGTCCTTCCTTGGCAGTAGCGAACAACTCTTTCACTTTCTGTTTAATCTGGGATCCTAAGCTAGCTGACTGAGAGGAGTTTGATATTCTTAATTTTTCAGCTTCAGTCTTAGGAACCCATTTTTGTTTGAGCTTTTGAGCAGGAGAGGTTTCATTATCACTGAGTGAATGATCAGACAAGTAGTCTTTGAAAATTGGTTCTTTAGAGAGTCTTCTCAAATGTTTGAGTGAGTGAACCTTGAGGGGATATTTCAAACATGGTAGTGTATACTCTCCCTCAACGTTCACCTTTGCGGAAGCGGATTTCTTTTGGACTCCCTGATCATTCACATTCTGATCTTGAGTGAAGGAGGCATCAGACTCAGAGCAGCATTGCATGAAAGACTTGATATAGTTCTGAGTAGAAGAGCTTGAGCAGTGATTCTTAGGAGATGTCTTCCTTTTGGCATAGAAGAGAGCACTTGAACCCCAGTTCCTATCTCTTAGACGAGATTCTTCTTCCTTCTTTCTTCTTCTTAACTTGCCCTCTATCCATTCTCCTCTCCTTTCCACTCTCCTCTTCACAGGGGCCCTTGTCGGTGAAGGTGACTCAGAGTGAGAACTGGAAGTTTCAGGATCATTTGTAGATTTTTCAGAACAGTTCTCAGAAGACGGAGGAGAAGGCGAAGCACAGTTTTCAGATGATGGAGGAGAAGGAGATTGTGAGCCTGTGCTTGATTGAGAGGATATTTGGAGTAAAGATATTTCATTCAAGAGTTGTTCTCTTTCTAGTTCAAAAGCTTGTTTTTCTTTATCAAAAGCTTCTTTCAATTCAGCAAACTTTCTCACAAGGGGTGGAATGTATGCTGGTTTGGCTACAGGCTCTGAAGTTGAAGGTTCCCCTTGATCTTGCACAGTCTCTTTTGTAGGGTAAAAGGTTGGAATCTCTTCGGGAGGAGTCAACGGGGGCTCTTTTGTTTCATAGCTCTCGTTCAAGGCAGCATAATCAAAAGGAATTTCTGTTCCGAGATTAGCTCTCTTGGCATCTTCTTCATCATTCATTTCTTTAACACTGAGGAAAGACATCAACTTAGTCAGTCCAAGACCCATATAATTGATGTCATACAGTTGAGCACAATTCACCTTCTTCAAATTACATGGGTTAGACAGACCGAGTCCTTCTTTAGAATTATAGAAACAGGTGTCTTTGGGTTGGTTCAAGAAGATTGTTTGTTCTGTCTGCCCCGTTGTAGCAAGTAAGTGTTCAAGATCTTTGATCTTACGGTAAAGGGCACTTCTTTTATCTTGAAGAAAATCGTTATCAGCTTTTGTTGTGCTTAGCTCTATGTGGGTCTGATTCAACTCCTTTGTTAGATCAGCTATTTTCAGAGTCAGCTTCTCTGTTTCCAAATTTATTTTATGAACCTCTTCTTTGGAATTGTTCAATTGTATACTCAATGAGGTGGACTTATCCAGCTGCTTCAGTAGGACTTTGTGATTATTTGCTAATCTCTCTTCCAATTCCTTGATAATTTTGTCCTTATCTTTTGAAGAATGAGTTTGACAAATACATGAACAAGGAGATATAGCGTTCATTGTTGTTGATTGTTGAATGTTGACCGTAGACGTGAGGTTGATTGAAGTTTCTTCAATTTTCTGGAGCTTGAAATGGTTTGGACCTTGAGAAAAAATAGTCTTAACCTTGAGATTTTTTTTATTAACTAATTAATTAATTGATTAATTAATAATTTTTTTTTAATCTCAAGGTTGACTTTTGGAAGCTTTGATTGTAAGGTTGACCTTTGGTGTTGAAGATTTGAGCTCAAAAGTTGAAATAGCCTCAAAAAATAGCTCTTGAAGTTGGAGTTTTTAAAAAAAATGTACTTATCCAAGTGTGGGGAGAAAAGAAATGTTTTAAGCAATCCCACACCTAAACTCCTTGGAAACTTTTGAGCCTATATATATGAACCACTCCTTTCTTAGTATTAAAAGGTGAAGGAGAAGAGGGGAGCTCTCGCGCACATGGGATTTCGGCTTTCAGTTCAAATTCAAAATTTCGCACCCCCCCTGCGCGGGCGACATGCGGACACGAATGCTGCAAAATTCGGCGGGAAATCTCGAAATCTTAAAATGTCAAAACCTTAAAATGTCGAAATATCAAAATCTCTCGAGATCTTAAAATGTTGAAAGCTCAAAATCTCGAGATCCTAAAATGTCGAAATATCAAAATCTCGAGATCTTAAAATGTCGAAAGCTCAAAATATCAAGATCTTAAAATGTCGAAAGCTCAAAATCTCGAGATCCTAAAATGTCGAAAGCTCAAAATCTCGAGATCCTGAAATGTCGAAATATCAAAATCTCGAGATCTTAAAATGTCAAAATATCAAAATGTCGATTTTTCAAAAACTTAAAGTTGTATCCTGTAGTCCTGAATGACGAGATCCTCCTGTGAAAATTTCAGATCCAAATACTAAACACAGCCTGTAAAAAAATTGATCTCGAGATCTGAGTATCGAGATCTTCTAAATTGAAAAATTGTAAAAATCAAAAACTACGATATACTGCTTGATCGTTTTTCAGAGGCAATCCCAACGGTATAACTTTTACAAATTTTCGTTCACAAACAAGATAACAGGAGCAAATATCTATATCAAAGAAAACGAGAAGAAAAGCAGAGCAGTTCTTCGTAAAATCAGAAAATTCGCAGATAGATTCAACCTGTTTCACGCCTTGGCTCTGATACCAAATGTTAGTCCCAATATCAATCAACAATCATACAAACAATATAACGAGTACAGAAGAAACGACGATCCCATTCAATACCAATAAAGATGTCGAAATACAGAATAGGGTATGAACGACGTTTTTCTCCCTTCTCACTCAAAATGATATCTGCGTTGAGACTTATGCGAGAGTTAGGGTTTGCTTAAGTTAGCATCCTTTTATACATAAGGATGTCTAACGTAAGGCTTACAAGTGGGCTAATGGGCTAAAATACATTTGTGGCCCATATTACACATTGAGCTAATAACTACACAAATACAAAGATATTTAATTGGATTGGACACCATAAAACTGAAGCTGAAAGGTGGGTCCCCAAGATCAGACCCACCAAGCCTGAAACTGAAAGATGAGTCCCCAAATCAGACCCACCAAAACTAAAACCGAAAGGTGAGTTCCCATGAATAGACCCACCAAGACTAAAACAGCTAAGTGGGCTCCAAAACCAAGACCCACCGCAAAAGCCGCCACTGCTGTTTTAGATGAGAAGGCACGATCAGCTTCAAGAATGCTTCAGTCTTTCAGTCCATGGGATTTTCGGTCATGGCAGGCCCTTCGCCAACGGTTCTGGAATAAAAATTGGCCGCACGCTTTAACCCCAACATTCGGAGAGGGGGAAGAAGCCATTGCTTTGCGATGCTATTGCCGTCGAGCGCCAAGAAGAGGTGTCGGTCTTCATCCGGTGGGGCATGCAGATTCAGGTCATGTTGCGTGGCCATTAACGGCGATACTTGAAGTTGAGCCCCAGCAACCGAAGGAGCAAACTGCTTGTCGCGCTTAGGGGTTTCCTTGAGTTGCGATGGCGACCAGCGCGGCGACGGAGTGGCCCTGAGCGGAGCTTGGAGAGGGTCGTTGTGACAGAGGTGAAGGAGCGAGCTGCTTGTTTCCGGACCAGGCTTCAACTTGGCTGCTTCCTCCGGTCAGCCGAGTCCCAGCTTCGAGCTTGGCATCGACCTGCACGGCTACGACGGCCATGAGCCGGAGCAACAACAACGATGATATCTCCAACCACGGCCACATCCAGGGTAATGCCAAGGAAGCCTGAAGCAACGGTGGTGGGGTTCTGCGGATAGTGCTCGCCGGCAGCTACTGTTGAGATCTGGAAACTTCCATATCCGAAATCGGTCCTGCTGCGCGCACCCCATTCATACTTGGTGCACCCATCTTTCACCATGCTCTGACAATTTTATCCTTGTGTTAATTTTTTGTTACGTGAATACGTAGTAATAAGCAACGACGCCAAACAGCCCAAGCTTATAACTTTTTCAATTGATCCACTCAACTTTAAATTTTTTTTCCTACCAAATGAAAATTGTGTTTCTCTAGTTCGATTTTTGTATTATTAATATAGTTAGTTTCCTCTAAGTTATTTTATATTCTAGAATTAGAATGTTAAACTAACAATTTTTAACATAAATTGATATAAATAAATTTTCTAGTTAGCTATTAGTTTTTCATAAACACTTTCTTTCATAAAACACTCTTAATATTCAAAGGTTTGTGTTGGGCCCTTTGAACTACCGGGACTTAAACTCAACAAGGATTATCAATGTTTTATTCCCAAAAAAAGACTCATTCACTAAAAAAAGAGTCATTCACTCCTATTTTAAGAAATTTTAATCAAATTATTCTTTTAATAGGACCACATAAGTCGTATTTAAGAAATAAAATATACTGTCCTATTTTTGAATTTTATTTATGTTTTAGTCCTATATTGAACAATTTTTAATCGACTGTATTGATCGATTGTGCTGAAATTTATAAAGTTCTGGTGAAGTGACTGGATTGAAAGATTTTGTCGATTTATGAAAAAATTATATTTAAAATATATTATATTAATAAATATATTATATTCATAAAATAAAGAAAAAATTACATGTAAAAAAGCTAAAATGATCCGTTACGGTGACATCAGTCGATACAGCCAGAAAAATAACTTCAACCTTACTTTTTCTTATTATTACTTTGTGGGAAAATGTATTCATTACTTTTATGAATTTTCCGGTGAAAAAAATAATCAAAAAATTTTCCGCCGATCACAATGACATGTTTCAAGGAGACATGACACATGTGACATTTGTGACACTTGTGGCGATAACGACACTTGTAGTCTGACATAATATCAATTAGACAATAGTAATACATTTAAGGCAATCGTGTTCCAAATGTAAAAAAACCACTAATGCAATTTTTTAGATATAATTTGTATTTTTATTTTTATTTTCAAAATATATTTATACTTTTAATTATTTAATCTTCTTCTACAGATCGTCAAAAGCTGGAATGAGGCAAATAGGGGTAAATAATACTACCTTCGTTCTGAAAAGGTTCGCTGTATTGATTTTTTTTGTCAATGATGACAAATTTTGGACGATGATTTTAATTACTATATTTGTATGTAATTTATAAACTTTATAATTTTATGAAACTATTTTGAACGAGGAACATTTTGATATAATTTTTATATTTTAAATAATTTCATATTAAGAATTTAAGAAATATCATGAGTCAAAGTTGATTGTCATTGATCAAGAAAAGTCAATTTGGCGAACCTTTCCGGGACGGAGGGAGTAACTTATTTAATAAAAAGTTAATAACACATAATTTAAAATTTATTTAATAATTTTTTTGAATAGGATTAGATTCTTTAAAAGAGTACTCATTTAAAGAAAAATGTTTGAGCGGCTGCTATAGTACATATGAAGTACTACGTAGTTACAAAGGGCAAAGTTGTCTTGTGCTGGTTACAATAAGCATTTCTGGGGTGCACGGAGCAACTCCCTCCGAAATTCAAGAATCTTTTTTATGACTTTCTAAAATTTTCAGAACAATTTCTTGGCTTTTCAGAAAGTTTTTTGCTCGATTTTCTAGGATTCGTCTGAATTTCTCGAATATGTGGGAGGAACCTTACTTGATTTTGCTCGAATCTCTCAATGACAGCACCATTGATGGATTATGGGATATCCAAACATATATAAAATGGAGAGTTGAGCTAGATAGTTGGAGAAGAAGATGAATGAATAGTGGAATGTTGTATAAGTTATGTTCTAAGAGTTAGGAATTAGGGTTACAAGTCTCCCAAAGAGAGTATAAATAGACAAATAATGGGCCGGACCGCTAATATGGGTCCGATAGGCCCAACTACATAAAAGACTAATCTAGTACATACAAATGATATATGAACTCTACAATAATACAAATGATATAAATGACATCCCATAAGCGTGAGTGGGCCGCTGTTCGAGCCCAATAGTCGTGAGATCCGAGGGTCCGAGTCTATATACTCTATCAACACACTTTCCTTTCTTGGCTAGGAACACAAAAACCCCCGGGTTGTTCCATATAGATTTCTTCATCTATATCGCCATTTAGAAAAGCGGTTTTTACATCCATTTGATAAACTTCCAATTTCCGCAATGCGTCAATCACTAATATCATCCTAATGGAATTTATTCTCGTCACAGGAGAATACGTGTCAAAGTAATCATGACCCTCACGTTGCTTGTATCATTTGATTACAAGTCTGGCCTTGTACTTATCGATGGAACCGTCAGGTTTCATTTTCCGTTTAAAAATCCACTTGGATCCCAAAGGTTTATTTCCCAGAGGAAGATCAACCAATTCCCACGTGTGATTTTGTAGGATAGAATCCACTTCACTTTTGATGGCTTCTTTCCACACAGGACCTTCGGTAGATGTCACGGCTTCCGTATAAGTCTGTGGCTCATTTTCTACCAAACATGTTAGAAAATCCGGTTCATTTTCTACCATACATGATAGAATATTCGAGTCAAATTCTACCAAGTAGATGAGAAAATCTGGTCCGAAAGAATTTTCAATTCTAGCACGTTTGCTACGTCTGGGTTCAGCTTCTTCTTTGGAGCCCTCGCTAGTATTTTCCATAGCTACGTCGAATGTTCGTTTTGACGTGCTTGGTCTTTCGTTGCACTTGCATGGAAATACGTCTTCAATGAATGATGCATTCCTTGATTCAATAATTGTGTTTTTATGTGCATCCGGATTATTCGAATCGTACACTAAAAATCGATAAGCACTACTATTTTGTGCATACCCAATAAAAATACAATCCACCATTACAACCCACTATTTTGACCTATTTTTATTTTCTTAGGTGTTGGTAAAAGCACCTTTGCAAGACACCCTCACACTTTTAAATATTGATAGGAAGGCCTTCTACTTTTCCACAACTCGTAGGGAGTTTTATCATATTTTTTTGGGGAACCTATGTTAAAAGGTAATTGCTTGACAAGACTGCTTCGCCCCACATATTTTGTGACAGACCCGAACAAACCAGCATCACATTCATCATATCTTTCAATGTGCAATTCTTTCGTTCGGCAACACCGTTTGATTGAGGTGAATAGGGTGTGGTACGTTCATGTACTATACCCACGCTCGCGCAAAAGTCACCAATTGGTGCTTCATGCTCACCACCTCGATCAGTTCTAACCGTTTTAATCCGTCGATTAAGTTGGTTTTCCACTTCATTCTTATAAAGAATAAATTTATCGATTGCTTCGTGTTTATTTTTTAATAAATAAACATAGCTATAATGAGTGCTATCATCGATAAAAGTAATAAAATATTTATTACCGACACGTGTTTGTATTGATTTAAAATCACAAACGTTACTATGAATTAATTCAAGTGGTTCCATTTTTCTTTCAACCGATTTGAAAGACTTTTTCGTTAGTTTTGCCTCTACACAAACTTCACATTTGTGCTTCACATCAATTGTGAATTTAGGAATGTGTTCCATGTTAATTAATCTACGTATAGAATTAAAATTAACATGTCCTAGTTTACCATGCCACACATGGGAAGACTCAAGCAAGTAGAAGAGATTTTATTATTATTATTATTATTATTATTATTATTATTATTGTTGTTGTTGTTGTTGTTGTTATTATTATTATTATTATTATTATTATTATTATTATTATTATTATTATTATTATTATTATTATTAGTATTATTATTATTATTATTATTATTATTATTATTATTATTACTGATGGATAGTCTACCCGGGGGTATGTATCCGAAGGGTTACCGCGGGGAGTAACTAGAGAGAAGTCAGAGCAAAAGTAAGAGAGAGAGTGTATTGCTGAGAATGTAATGTGCGAATTTTTCTTGGATTACAAATGGGGAAAAGGGGCGCTATTTATAGTAGTAATAAATGCCAGACAGGGACACGTGTCATCACTCTGGTGGTCGAGGGGTCACCTCAACCGGGTGGCACTGACATTCGCATGTGGCCGCATTAAATGCGGCTGTTGGATGTGACGTCGTACTTGGTACGGTGATTCAGGCGCATGTGGAGAGGATATTATGTCGAGAAAGGTGCCCTCGGCTGCAGATGATTAGCCGAGGGCACTGAGTACCGGGGACCTCCTTAGTGCCGAGGGCTCTAGGTGCCGAGGGCTACCGATTTTCGCCGTTTTCTCCCAGTAACTTTGTTTGCTTGAGTTGGCCATCCTGTGAGAATTTGGAGCCTTCGGCCAGGGGGCCGAAGGCACCCCCAGTGTGCCACGTGGGTTGCTTAGTACTTGGGGCAATGTGATTTGGGCCTGCTGTGCTTCCAAGGCCTATTGGGCCTCCCTTAGAATAGTAGGAGTCTATGAGCCGGGGGTTCCTGGGCCATATACTCCATCAATTACTATCATCATCATCATCATCATCATCGTCGTCATTATTATTAGTTACATTAAGCTTAAACAGCCCATCACATGCATACCCTTTGCCCACATACATTCCCGACTTAGACAAAACTAGTTTGTCCGACTCAAAAACCATGCGGAAGCAATGCTTGTTCAACAACGAGCCGAAGATCAGGTTTTTGCGTATCTCCGGAACGAACAACACTTGGTTTAGAGTCAGCTCCTTGCCCAAAGTCATCTTCAAGACCACCGTGCCCACGCCTTCAACCGCGGAATGAGCAGAATTTCTCATCCACAACTTTTCACCATTTGATGGCTCAAAGGTCGTGAATAGCTCCCGGTTTGAGCAAATATGTCGGGTTGCATCGGTGTCCACGAACCACTCTTTGGAGTTGGATCTGACGAGGTTGACCTCGGTCACCATGGCCGCAAGGATGATGTCTTCATCCTTTTGCCCACCTTGCACCAGGTTGACGTGAGAATCTTTCTTCCTCCTTGGTGCCTTGCAATCCGAGGACTTGTGTCCATTCTTGTTGCAATTGAAGCATTTTCCGCTGAACTTTGTCTTGGAAACGCCTCCCTTGGGTCCGAGCTTGCTCTTCCCATTATTTTTGGTTTTGGAGCCCTTTGCATG